TATATTTTTTAATTTAATTTTTTAATTTATTTTTTAATTTAATTTTTTTTAATTTTTTAATTTATTTATTTAATTTTTTAATTTTTTGAAAAATATATATATAAATACATATTTTATCATTATATTTTTATATAAAATTAATATATACATAATATGTAGACAAATAAGATACATTTCAACACACATAATTAACTTTTCATCTACTTTTCTTCCAATTTTGGAAATATTGATTTTTGTGAGTTTGAAGGAAAGTTAATTCGTCTACTTTTTCATCTTTCCTATTTTCCTTCCTTATCAAACATGATATTTTATTTATCTTTCTAACTTTTTATCCTTTTATTTTTCTATCATACCAAACGAAACATTAGGTTCAAAGTGAAGGGAATGTGTTCAATTTCTTGTTCCCGCAGTTAATCTAACGGTGTGGAGTTGTCTATGGATCGAAATATACATTTTAAGTAAGTTTTACTCTTGTTAATGTGTCTGGTTAACTTCATATTTGTACTTAGTAGATAATTGTAAGTATTGTAATTTTTAATGGTTCTAATGTTGTCAAAATTCATCCTTATAAAAAAGTAGAAAATGAAAATAAAAAAGCTACTGAATAATGCAGAACATGAATTACGGATTTTTATATTTTTATTTATATTTTATTTTTTTAGTTAGAATAAGAGTTTAGTTAGAAATATTTTAGAGTAATTAATTATTTAAACCATATTAATTTTTCTAATTTATTAGACATATGATTTATTGTTTTACATAACTTTCTTAAAATAAGAGATTTATTTTCGTTTTAAAACTTGAAACCACGTGTCTAATGAATTAAAAAAATTGATATGATTTAGACAATTAATTACTCTAAAATATTTATAACCAAACTCTTATTACAACTAAAAAAAAAAATTCGTAATTCTTGTTCTTTATATCGGTGGAGGTCCACTCCTTGGAGAGACAGAGAGAGAGGAGGAGAGATGGTCACTGGGGTTGATGCAGGCAGGGTGATCCACTGGCACTGACAGCTTTAAACTGATCTTTGAGTCAAAACTGTCGGCGTTCAATTATTCCATGTTAAAAACAAATTAGAAATAAGGCAAAGAGTGTGTACTACTCCCCTCTTTTTTTTTTTTTTTTTTTTATCATAATTAGCAAGGAGAAGATTGAATAGAATTCCCCAATATCACTAAGTGACAAATGCTGAATAACTCAGAAGAACGGAGTCACTGTTCAAACACTGATTCACCTTCGTAGGGTCATGACCCGATTCACTCATAACTTGTTTCCATCCTATTTCTTGATGAAATGTACACATACCCTGGCATGGCATGGAGGCAAAGTCCCTTATGTTTGGGGAGTTCTTACCCATCTCTAGGCAAGGGACTAGACCACCTTCAATGGACTTTTTTATAATTTTTGTGAATTATTTTATAATTAAAAAATTTATCATTATTGTAGATATTTTTATTATTATTATGGGTGTTGTAAATTTTCTTTGGTACAAAAAAAAAATATCACTTTTGTAGATAATTTATTGTGATAATAGTAAAAACATCCACAACAGTAATAAAAGTATCCTCAAATCTATATATACACTACTAATAAAAATAAGTTAAATGAAAAACTTTTGATTGACATATAATTCTCCTGATAAATTTTTTTTCATCTCCTTCAGTTAATTACATACTTCTCTACTATTATTTCCTTTCCTTAAATTAGTTATGTACGTATACGTAATATTTCATGTATTCATTTCAACTATAGTTATTGATTTTAACTCTAATGATATTTTTTTGATCAAACAAACAACTTAAACTATATCATTAAATAGAAAAATTGAGATTACAATCAATCAAGAGAAAAATCTTAAGCTCGGGAAGGGGGAAGCCTATCCAATTTAGCGGAATCAAATTGTTTAACACAGCGGCTGCTACCCAATGAGCAGTCTTGTTATAGGCTCTAGACTTGTGTAGAAAACTAAGGTTATATAACCTAGAATAATGTTTAATATCTTCAATAATAACAAAAAATTACACTACCACCTTTTTGTTTCTCCATATAATAGACTCAATAACTTTTGGTATGTCCTTCTGGATTTGAAGGATTGCTTTAAAAATGTTACCTAGAGAATTCAAATTTTGTGATCCTCCATGTATCTTACATAACCACATGTTAGATAGTCTATCTCTTCATTTGGTGTATATTTACAATGTCAAATATGATTAGATTTTACAAAATAACGATCAATATAAATACACTATTTTATTGAGTTTAATTCTATTATTTTTATTTAATGCAGGTCAAATTAAGGTGTTGGAATTACAATAATCACAATAATTGATTGAATTTTTGCGTAAAAGGTTTGCGCTCCTTGAGCTTTATATTGAACAATAAAAAATCTGAAAAGACATTGATTCATATACCTTTGAAAAATATTATTTGTTTCGGGTCAAGCAAATAGAGATTGAAACTTTTCCAATTTTTGATCTCACACCTCCCAAAAAAGAAATTAAAATTACAATCTTATTGAGGCTACTTCATCTATTTGCAATGTTAAAATATTCATAATGAGATTATTTTACACTTGTACATCAATTAGTATAATCAATGGAGGTATCATACCGAATCTTTTTTGGTACAGAAGACAACTCCATAGGCAAATATTTATGCTTATTATATATGCTAGAATATTCAGTGTACATTGCATTTTTTTTAAAAAATTTTATAAAGGTTAAAATATACGTTATTGGTTAAAGTATTTGTTATTGTTAAACAATAAATGAGTGGTTAAAATTTAAGTAAGTGATCAAAATATTTACTTTGATTAAATGTAAATATGATTAAAAAATTTATTATGCTGCAAAAAATTACTGTGGTTAAAAAAACATATTATATGATTAGTTGTTGTAGTAACATTTGAAGTGTTTTATGCTCTGTAGTTGTAAGATTAGTCATTGTAGTAAGTGATCTATGTTATTGTTATATTTTTTATTATCGATTATACCTAGAAAAATTCTAAGTCTGAGCTCAGGTATTGAGGTGAGAAAGGGAGTTCAGCCAAGAAAGCCCGAGCTCGGAGGTCCAGACCTTGGGCTCTCTCGACCTGCGCCTCAAAGAAAATGAGTAGAAGATGGTTGACGACTACTAAACGCCCCCTCAATGGCAGTAAACGCCAGTCTAGGCATGAGAACTTCAACCGTCTAACCCATCATCTGAAATCAAGCAAAACGTTACAAGAGAGAGGCAAAAATCTCGCCCCAAACCCCATAAAACTAGGAACTAAGTTATAAATATTGTACAAAGTCCTCACTTTGAGGCAAGCAATCTAAATAATATCAAGAAGACTGTGTTATTCCTTCTTCATCTTCAATATAATTCTCAGAAGTAAGAGATTTCCTTGAAAAGTAGATTAGTCGAGCCTCCAGACTGGTGAACCATTATAATTTATCTGCGCAATTCACCCCTTTCCCCTAAAATTATCACATTATTCCCAAGAGTCTTGTACCTCAAATCAAATTCCGTAATATATCTGTTCTGCTCAATTGCGTTTTACATATCATTAATTATGATGTATTATATTGATAAAGAAGTCATTACTCTCTACCTATTGGTCATTATTCTTTCTCTCTCTCTCTCTCTCTCTCTCTCTCTCTCTCTATATATATATATATATATATATATATATATATAGTGCTGCTGGATTGTAGAATAGAAAGAGATAAGTGATGATCACTGATATCCCTATCTCCATTCAGAATTTGTGTATTCATGCAATAATTCTAAGCCTGTGTAGGCAGCTCCCATACATGAAAACAGACAAAACTGTCTATTATGTCATATCATCTCCAAAAACATTTACTATGTTGCACCACTTAATGCCACTATCTCATTTTCAGCGTATCTCTATACTAGATTAATGCAAATCCATTACCTAATTAGATATACTAAACAATTAGTAATTAAAAGTGCAAGTGGCAGTAACAGGTTATTATAATAATGACTGATTCTACTGACCAAGAAATAAGACAAAAAAACGACTTAGTGTTGACATGATTTATACTAAACGACAAATCAAAATTTAAAAACAGAGATTACAAAATTTCATCTCATCACAATTAGAAAGGAGTATTAAAATTTTAATTCAAAAATCAACCCTCAACTCCAAATATTGTTTAGTTTGAGACTTGCATTGGTATAAAATATTATTTGGATTGTGGGTCCATTTAGTAGAATGGTACTGGATATGCGATACGATACATCTTTCGATACGAAGAAGGTAGATTTGATTAGTATATTATTTTGGGTCATGATTCGTTTTCTATATAATTGCTTTGTCTATACGAGATTATATATAGGGTAAAATACACTTTTAATTTTCAAAGTACGTGTTTAGTGTCTATTTGATCTCCAATCTTTTAATTGTGTCTATTTTGTCCTTAAAGTTCCTAATTTGTTTCTACGTGGTCCAATCTCAAAAGTTCATAAAAAAATTGTGACAGTTCTGGTCATGTGTCAATCATGTGATTTCTAATTTTCTGTCTATTTGACCCATAAGATTCATAATTTGTGTTTATTTGGTCACAAATGATTTGCGTGTGACTAAAGACATTAATAATTTTTTTACAAACATTTGAGATTAGACCAAATAGACACAAATTAAGAACCTTAGGAACCAAATAGATATAATTAAAAGATTGGTGACTAAATAAATATTATAAGCATATTTTAGAGACTAAAAATGTATTTTACCCTCATATATAATTAATTCATATTTGTTTTAAGGTTTAAATTACAATTTGAGTTTAAAGTTTTAAGTGATCTAGATTGGAAAGTCATCTCGATTTGGCTGATGCAACCCTGATTCGTGGGCCGATAAGGGTGTCTACGTCGAACATTGTTTGGAACTATTTTTTTAATCTAATTATTTAGTCCAACCATGGTTACTCTTTATATAAATCAGTTCCAACTGTGGAGGCATGGCTTATGAGAAAGAAAGAAAGAAGGGTTGGGCAAGCGAGAAAAGCCAAAAAAATGAAGCTCCATTTTCTCTCTCCTCTCCTTATTCTTCTCCTTGCTGCTGTCATTGTGCTGAAAAAATTTTCTTCCTTTGTTGTTCTGCTCCTGCTTTGCCTTTTCTTATACTTCTGCAACATTTTATGGGTAGAGCCTCTAAGGCATCGATGGAAACTTCAGAGCCAAGGCATCATGGGGCCTCAGCCTTCTTTTTTGTATGGGAATGTGCCGGAGATGCAAAAAATTCAATCGGCGGGGACAAAGGCGGGTAACCACGGCGAGTTCATAGCCCATGACTACACTTCCACCCTCTTCCCCTACTTCGAACAGTGGAGGAAGGAGTACGGTAATCCACCATCTTTCTGATCTTTTGAGTTTTCTCTTTAACAGCTTTCTGCTTTGTTTATGGGTCATTGCGCTGATTCTTCGTTTGTTTGTTTTGTTTTGTTTTGAGTTTGATCGTATACCGATGAACTCGAAACATTAAACACAAAAACTGAAAAAAAAAATTTTAAAAAAAGGATTTGTTCTTCAAAGTTCAATCCCAGAAATGTTAATTAGAATGCTTACAAGGTGTCTGCCAAAATCATGTCCCCTTAGAAAACTAGGTTTGTCCTGGACAGCCAATAGTAAAACGTTTAATCACTACAACTTTTTTCAGAAACATGAATTTTATGTTGCTATTTATTTATATTTTTAATTTCAGAAATAGGCAAAAAGTAAAATACTCAATTATTTAACTGTTATTCAGCACGAAAAAAGAGAAAGAGAACGTGGAATGAGTTCATGTTCAACAACTTTGAGGTGTTTGATTCGAAGTTGATTTTGTTTGAGTGCGCAATCCCGATACTATCAAAACCTATATAGTCAATCTCGTTTTTACTTTTAAAAGTAAGGCCGGATTATCCAATATACGAGATTTTATAATCGAGAGTTTGTATAGGATCAAGATATATATAATCTTAATGACTATTTTGATATATTTACTTTAAGAGGTAGATGGTGTGGCAATTTGGGTGGTTTACATAGTCAACTCCATTAATTTGCAGCTGATGCAAGAGCCGATAAGTACATAAATAAGGGTGAAGCCAATTAATTTTAAAGATGGGAAATCTCTAGAAAGCAGTTAATGCCACGGTCCCCACTTTGCAACAATAAATCATGACAGAATAATTTCAAACGGAAATTTGTAGTTAGAAATTAAAAGATCAGTCGTCGGATGTAAGTGGTTACTGGATTGTGCCCTATTGATGGATGGACGGATTGTGTAAATAATAATGACACAATCTCTCGAGCTTGAGTTTGAGTTTGTGTTCTAAACGAGTTAAGTATAAATAATTTTTTAAATTTGTTTAAAAAAAAACAAGTCTCAAAAAACTCAATTTGTTTATATATAAAATAGTCGAGTTAATCGGTTTTTGTTCGAATAGAAAACGAGCTGAATTTAAATAATATTTTAATCTTGTTTAAAAAAATGAGTTCGACGAATTCGACTCGATTATCAACCCTTCCATCAAGTAGTGAAATTAACAACGTGTGAGAAAGAGATAATTCATGTGACTAGTTTAAGGTATAAAAGTGACCAATTAGCTCTCAAATTAATGACTTTGCATTGCAATGATTTATTAGGTAAACGACAACAGGGGAATCACACCAAATATATTCGCATAATGCTTGATATTAATTTATTGGTCGGGGGTAGTGACAGCACATCTTTAAGTAATGTACAAAAACAAAGCCAAATATTATTGATTAGACTACTGCACATTATGATAGCAATCAAGTCATTTCGGGTTATACTTACATTATATTAATTTCTTGTCATTCCTAACCCGTTATCTATTCAATTGAGTGTATCAAATGTCTCGACACAAATCTCATATGTTTATTGTAGATCAATAATTATAAGTTAAAAATAGAAATTCCACGCTTGAATGTCTTTTCTCTATCAACAAAACCGATCGCTCATGGGTCACATGAATCGAAAATTTCCTTTTATTTTTAAACTAACAAAACTAAGTAGAAGTTTTTCAATTTTGTGTTTGTTGAATAAATGGGTTATAACTGTTTAAATTGAACGGACATATTTTATCGTCTAAATGTGTCATTTTCAAGTTTTAATTGATGGCGGAAAACATGGTCCTCTGATTTAACGGCCGGTCGGAGATGGTCTGAACTTTGTAGCAGATGGTGAGGGTAAGCGTGAGTGATTAGCAGTAGTTGTGTTGTTGAAATACACGACAGTTTCCTATTTTTGGTCCTATGTTGGGAAGAACACAGTTTCCTTACAAAGGAATAGTCAACTAAAACGGGGCATGACTCATTTTTGGCGCATGCTGTGGAGCCCATTTTCTAACAGCATCACACGTCACTTAAACTTTGTTCTCTTTGATATATATATATAATAAAATAAAAATATATTTTAATTTTATTTCAGTCATATTTTTTTTTAAATCATCATCAATCACTTACCTCACCTATCATTTTTTTGTCAAACTCAAATGTCAAATCACATCACTCGTTTCTATCACATATTTAATCATTTATATATTTTCTCCCTAAAAATATCACACAACTCATTTCTATCATATATTTAATCATCTATTATTTAATTAATTTATGGTTAATATATTTTGAAAAAATTTAATATAGTGGGATATATTTTTTGGACGTTCAAATTTTATATTTTATCGTGTCTTTAGGCAGAAGTTATTACTAGTTTATAAATATCCTCTCAATCACGTGTTTTTAATTAATAATTATCGTCAAAATTTAGAATTAGAATTAATTATCTATTTAACCTCTGAACTATATTTGTATCAATCAAGTCACTAAACTATTCCCTCTATTCCTAAGTATCTATCGTTTAAGGTTTTTGTACAGGGATTAAGGAAGTTATTAAATAGCTCTAATATGAGTAAAAAATAATTACACAAGACTAAAATACTCTTATTCAATACGTGTTAGAAATGAAAGAAATATGAAAGACACTTAGCCTACACTTAATCTATTAAGCACTTATTAGAAAATAGAGATAAGGATAAATTTGAAAAAAAAATATTTATTATGCTTTGATTTCATAAAACGACATATATTATGGAATAAAAAAAAATTATGTAAAATGACACATATTTAGGAACGGAGGAGGGAGTTTTTCATTTGTGTCAATGTGATTATTTCGTCCAAATTCACAGTTAATTTTGACAGAATTCGTCACGTGTGCATCACGTGAGCCAAGGATTAGAGCATAGTTTAAAGGTCATGTATTGTGCACGCTAGGAATTCTGTCAAATTTAACGACGAATTTGAACGAAAGAGTTATATTGACACAAATATTATAGTTCAAGGGCGAAATTGACACAAAGTGTAGTTCAGGGATTTGATTGATATAAATAATTTAGTTTAGGGATTAAATAAATAGTTAACTATTAGAATTATGAAAGTTAAATTTGAGATTTGAGACCGTCAATATTCAACGCACTCAACAAAGTCTTGTCCCAACTGAAATCTTCAAATCCAAACTATATTTCCCGGTTATTGTCTGACGTGATTTTACGGGTTGATGCTTATTTATCTCGTAAATATTTATAGTTGGGTTAATTATCTCTCCTGGAAGTTAGTTTTATGCCTTCAAATTTTCATTCTCCCATTCCTCCACCTTCTCTTCATGCGGAGTATTGCCCTGATATATGATCAAGCTGGAATGATATTAAAGATATCATTCTTAATTTGCCTTTAAATTTCCTTTGGATGCAGGTCCATTATATACGTATTCCACAGGGAATAAGCAACATTTATATGTGAATCATCCAGATCTAGTGAGGGAAATGAACCAGAGTATCACTTTGGAGTTGGGAAAGCCTTCTTATGTGACCAAGAGACTTGCACCCATGCTTGGCAATGGTATTTTGAGGTCCAATGGTCACATTTGGGCCCAGCAGAGGAAGATTGTCGCACCTGAATTCTTCATGGACAAGGTCAAGGTAATCGAAATTTTTATTTTTTGTATGGAAGCAACTATTACGAAAGGCTATTTTATTGCCAAACTAGACCCAACAAACTGTTTGAATTTGGCTCGTGACAAGCTTCAAACATCTTGTTCTAGCTCAATCCATCAATTTTTAATTTTTTTTTTGAATATTGGGCTCACCTCATCCCAACTTGCTTGATTAAAAGAAATGAGCTTGAGCTGCATTTGAACTTAAATTCGAGTTTAGATTCTTATTTAAGTTAAAGTGGAGTCTGGTTTGAAGCACGCTTGTTTATGCCTCATCCCAACTCGCTTGACTAAACTTACCGACCTTGACTTTTATTGAACTTAAACTCGAGTTCAGGTTCTTGTTTGAGTTAAACTAGAGTTTATGTTAAAAACATGGCCCGTTTATGCATATGTATAAAGTTGTAGACACACACACAATAGACAAACAAATCATTGTTCAAGCTTGGCTCATTTTGTAAACTAGGTTTAAAATTGTGTTCCAGGCCGGTTTTTTTGATAAATGGATGAACTATTATTTGAACCGATCCCAAACTTTTCATGAGCAACTTGGTGCATTAATTTGTAGCTCCAGCAAAAACACAATTGATTAAGTCGATTTATTACTGCAAAAGCAGCCATTAAAACTGTTCCAGACAACCTTTGTGCTTTGACATTAATACCATCATACCAGCCTTTCTGAATATGTAGAAACTTGAGAGAAAAGAAATAAGAAACACAAGAAACAGAAGTGATGAACCATTAATTAATTTGAAGGGCATGATGGGTCTGATGGTGGAGACAGCACAGCCACTGATGAGAAAATGGGAGGCCAGCATTGAAGCCCAAGGTGGTGTGGTGGCAGAGATAAGAGTGGAAGAGGATTTGAGAAGTGTCTCAGCAGATGTGATCTCAAGGGCTTGTTTTGGTAGCTCTTATTTCAGAGGCAAAGAGATTTTCTCAAAGCTCAGAATTCTTCAGAAAACCATTGCCAATCAAAGTGTGCTTTTTGGTGTTCCCAACTTTGGGTATGTTTCACTTGAACTTTGACTAATTTACATCAACAGAAATCATAATTGGACAAAACATTGTCTCGTTTTGCCATTTAATGATACGAGGATATTTTTTGCTCATAACATAACAAATATTCTATGTGAGGCTAAAGTCACATCAATCTAAGTTGTTGAAGGAGTAACGTGACAATCCCATAGTAAAGCTATACTAAATTTCTAACTCCAACTCTTCCTCATTTACCTGTAATGGCAGATTTCTCCCAACAAAAAAACAAAAGGAGATCAGAAGTTTGGAAAAAGAGATAGAGCAACTGATCTGGGAGGCAATTAAAGAACGCGGGCAAGAATGCTCGGAGGTGTCATTATCAGAAAAGGATCTGTTGCAGTTGATATTAGAGTCGGCTGTGAATGATCACCATGTTGGAAAGGATTCATCCAAGAGCTTCATTGTCGATAACTGCAAGAACATATATTTTGCTGGGCACGAGTCTACTGCTGTGGCCGCATCCTGGTGCTTGATGCTTCTAGCTTTGCATCCCGAGTGGCAAGCTCGTGTGCGCGAGGAGGTTGCTCAGGTTTGCCAAGATGGCGTGGTGGATGCAGATTCACTCCCCAAGATGAAAACGGTACCCCCATTTCTATGTATACTGTGCATATGTTGTTGCATACATTATGGTTGAAACTTGAAAGTAGATTTAGAACCGGTTTAGGTAGTTGGATGAGAGGATATTTAGGGATCACTACCTTAAGACACCAACTTTCGTTTCTCACAAGAGTCTTGATTTATACAAGCGCGTCATTTACAAATGATTCTAAATTTATATTTTAATCACGAGTTGAAATGACTCATGATTAAGCGATTATCTCTCATAAGAAAAAGTTATAATTATGTACTTTAAGTTTGTTACACATAATCAACAGTATAGTATGATACGAGTTTGAATATAGGTTTTAAATATTTGCAAATGTATGTAATATTGTAATGATTCTGAACTCTCATATAAAATTTGCCTTCTCTGCCCCAAATTTTTTCTAATTGCCACAAATTACCCACAAAAAAATTGTCCACAGGTTTTACCTCCCCCAAACTTGATTCCTTGGATCCACCCCACTCTCAATTATATAGTTACAATTTTTCTCATATGCAGGTAACCATGGTGATTCATGAAGCTCTACGCTTGTACCCACCAGCAGCATTTGTGTCTCGAGAAGCACTTGAAGAGACTCAAATCGGGCACATCATCGTCCCAAAAGGCGTATGCTTATGGACATTGATCCCAACGCTACATCGCGATTCTGAAATCTGGGGACTAGATTCAAATGAATTCAAGCCTGAGAGGTTCGTCAATGGCGTCTCCAATGCCTGCAAAGTTCCTCAAGCTTATGTCCCCTTCGGACTAGGTCCTCGCCTGTGTTTAGGACGCAACTTCGCCATGGTTCAGCTGAAGGTTGTACTCTGTCTCATCATCTCCAAGTTTAGCTTCTCCTTGTCTCCCAGTTATCGGCACTGTCCAGCTTACAGAATGATTGTAGAGCCTGGGCAAGGTGTACAAATTCTCATTCAAAGTTGTAAACAGGGGTGACAGTTTTCTGTTGGGAAATTATGCATATAGTTTAAGTGCATCTCTCTTCTTCAATTTCCTTACTCTTCTAATCAAATTGTAACATATTCTGTCCGATGTGTAATTACAGTTTTATTTAGACTCAACCTCGACTTGCCTCTAGTTTCTATTAACTGTTAACTGCTTATGCATCATGTGTGACAAGAAATGTAATTATTAAAAAGAAACACCTGCCCAAAATAATGGTCTATAACCCAAAATTGTTACTCCAACTATCCCTCCATAGCAAACACAATTTCACATTGAAAAACATGAGTTTCACCAATTTTTTTTTTAAATAAAAGCAATAATAGTTTAATAAGTAAGTTAAAAAATTTTCATATCTTAAAATAAAATTAAAAATAAAAAATTATGGTACAAGAACACTTGGTCCCTATTAAGTTATATAACTTTGTCGAGCATTCTCTGATTGTCAGATTCCTTGCTTGTTTTTTTTATTCGAGTCAATTTATATGTATTTGGATTAATTTTTTTTATGATTCGGTCAGAGCCAACTAATTTCCTCCCGATTCAAACAAATAAAATTATCCACTCAAGAACTAAGATATTCACGAAGAATATTATCAAAATTTAAATTTAAGACGTGTGAGGTCACCGATAAACTCGATTTCCACTTTAGCTTCTCGGAGGGTTGATTCTTTGCCCACCTATCATGCCCTTATGAGCCACTTTGTAGAAAAAAATGGAACAAGATTATATGCCCAACAGAGCCTAGGTAATTAATAAATTATTTCCTTGGCATTAGAGTAAAGTAGCCTTCTATATGATGCAAAACAGCTAGACCTTTTCCCTCTCATTCAACAACTTCATCAAAAAGGAGAACCTAACGGGGGACAAATTTCTCTCACCGTCTCGTCTCTTTTTCCTTTCAACAACAGAAACTTGGTCTGAAATGGGTAAACTCAGTGTTGAAATCTGCCTGATCTCTGCTAGGGGACTCCGGAGAACTTCATCTCTGTGGAAGCTCCAATGGTTTGCTGTTGGGTGGGTTGATCCTAACAACAAGTACTGTACCAAGATTGATTCTTCTGGAAATGCAAATCCGGTATGGAAGACCAAGTTCTCAACATTGGTCGATAACTCCGAATCGAACCTCGGAGATTTGGCTCTGAACGTTGAGGTTTACAGTAGAGAGCCTATCTTTCTTAGAGAGAGGCTTCAGGGGACAGCTACAGTTGTTCTGAAAGAATTTCTTGATAAATACATGAAGAATTCTGAGGTTTCAAACTCAAAACCAGTTGAGGAAGTGGGGAGTTTTCAATTGCGGAAAAGGAATTCCACCAAACCTCAAGGATTTGTGGATGTTTCAATCCGGGTTTCCGAGGAAAGGGACGAACCTAGTATTTATGGTATGAAACTCCAAAAAATACTTGAACCTTGCTAATCTATTTAGTCTTTTTGTTCTTTTATATTTTTGGTTTCTATGCTTGAAATTAAAATAGTTGCCTGATGCTTCATGTAATTCTGGCAATCCTATACAACACTCAGCCGACACGAAATTAGTAGATTAAATTTAGCAGGTTGACATGATAAACAGATACACTCATGAGATAAATGAGGTAACAAAAATCTAAATAATAGGTGAACTCACTAAAAATAACTTATACAACACACGAACCCAACAATACACTATTATAATTAGGTCAAGTGTGGAGTTAACTATCTATTTGGCTTTTAAATTATACTAATTGTGTCAATCAAGTTTTTGAACTATGATTTATATCAATTTAGCCCTTAAACTATACAATTTGTGTCAATCAAGCTCCTGAATTACAATTTGTGTCAATTTAACCCTTGAACTATATCATTTGTGTTAATGTAACCCTTCTGTCCAAATTCACGATTAACTTTGACCGAATTCCTCAAGTGTGCATTACGTGAGTCAAGAATTAGGATATAATTTATAAGTCATGAGCTTTGCACGTGAAAAATTCTGTTAAACTTACCAATGAATTTGAACGAAATGATCATATTGACACAATTGTTATAGTTTAAGGGTTAAATTAACACAAATGATATAGTTTAAAGGTCAAATAAATAGTTAAGTCAGGTGTGAGTTTAATAAATTTTGGCACTATACAATTCAGACATGACACAACAAAACCCACTTGACCCGAGCCATTGACAACCCTAGCTCCATGTATGTTTTAGAATTTGGAACAAAGCCTGCTTGCAATTGTCCATTGATGAAGATATTTATATTCTTGTTGATGTCCATTCGCAGCTTATGGGGAGGGATTTAAGCTCCCGGATCAGAACAATGGCATTAACATGGATCATGAACTTGGACCAGTACAAGCTTACCAACCACAACGGCCTCTAGCCCCCATCCCACGGCCTGCAAATCATCTACACACAAGTCCTCCATATGCCAATCCAGTGCCATTCCCTACAACTTATTCCAACACACCAATTGGCGGACCGAGCTACCCTCTGGCAGGTGGACCTAGCTATCAACCACCACGAACTCCACCACCACCACCTCCGCCTTCAAATGTTGGCTACATTCCCACTTTTCTCCCAAGAACAGATAATGTGCCACCAAGTTATATAAATATGCCACCCTCTGGAGCAGCAGCTGGACGCAGTGGTGGATCTGGCTTTGGAATGGGAATGGGTGCTGGAGCGTTGGCTGCTGGTGCTGTGATCTTTGGTGATGATTTTATGTCCGGATTTGATTTTCCCGGCGGGTATCAAGATGCTAGTCTCACCATATCGACTGACCCTCCCTTCTGAGAGTAATATCTATTTCCAGTAGTAATGTTTCTATGTACCAAAATGATGTTAAACACTTTCTCAAGTTGTTCAGCTAAAAAAAGGGTAGCCCAGTGTAAAATCTCATTTCAACTGCAGGATATTCAAAAAGGGGCAAGTCTTTTGGACAAGGATCTGCTAATTTTGCTGCGTAAACGCTGCAAAAAGCAAATAGTTTGGAATGGTTAAAAATGTGCCTGAAATTTCATGCTATCAATTAAATTTGGAAATAGTTACCACAACATGATAGTCGATATCATTATAAATCTTGAAAATTTACAAGTATGGTTACAACTGTATTGCTTCCATACTTTCATAAAGAAGAGGTGCTTCCATTCTTTTCATCGATGAACTTTGCTTGAAGAATAATTTCACAGTGAGGATGGGAATGCTAATAATAATGGAGTTCTTCCCGCCCTACTCTGCAAACGGCTGTGTTAATGCCTTTCATCTGATTGAATTGGCCAATCTGTTATTATATACTACTGGTTGAATGGGATCAATAAAAGCTTCAAGCTGCTGGTTGCAGACTCTGTACCTCCAAACCACCAAAAATTCTTTGCAGAAATTCCTCAACAACTGATACAAACTCTTCTGGCCTTTCTTCTTGTGGCAAATGGCCACAATCCTTGATGACTTCAAGAACAGATCCAGGAATGGCTTGTGAAAGTCTCTTAGAATTCCAAGGGGGAACAAGTCGGTCACTGTCACCAGTGACTATCAAGACTGATTTCATTTAGCAGAAGAAAATAATCAGAATCAAAAGCCTCTCTATATAATTGATGGGGTTATAGATAATGACAAACAACTGGAGTCAAGTTCAAGACATGGAGTAGCTGGGGGACAACATATAATGAAAAGTGTAAGTTTTATATAAGATAGAGAGAAATCAATTGGATCATCGAACTAAAAAATACGATTAATATTTTCACGCATGACATAATAAGTAAGCTCATTTATTGGTACTTTGAATAGAACTTCCTATCCACTCTTAAGGGGACTTCAATCACTCTTAATTTTCTGAAGTCTTAGATCAGAAAAATTATGAACTAAAGCGAAACAAAACTTCAGAATTTTTTGAATTGAGTATTGACGCAGCCAGGGTTTCTTTTTATCCTTGTAAGTGGCCAGAAAGAAAGTAGATATAATTACCTGGACATGAGATCTCGTGCAGTCTTTTTGTCAGTGGTGGTTTTGTTTCAGACATGGGATCTGCAAGCATAGCAGCTGTGAACTCCACCAGAGCTCTGTCCCAACCCTTAACCCTCAGCGGCTGCAATGATATGAACAATAACATTAACCAGGAATCTGTTCACTGCTGAGAATAAGGCAAAACAATAAATACAAGGCTTTCAGAGATCACCTTAGTATAACCACGTAAGACATGATCAGTGACTTGCTTTGAATCAAACCAGGAATTTCGAATTGCAGGTATACCAAATCTATCTATAACCATCCTCACCTGAGAACCACGAGGCAAGTCAGTGTCAGATATACAATGAGCATAGAATAAATGAAATTAATAGAAAACAGGAACTATAATTTGTTTTTGTTTTATCTTAAAGAAATGAGACAATTCTTGATCGATAAATTTTATCACGCATATTTCACTGAATTCTTTCAACTCGCCCTTCACCATAAATCCTAGAAATGGTGGAGGGACAAAAGGTTGAAATATAAATAATATTGTGTCGTGGTACCACTAGTAGGTGTATACTAGTGCAGTCAATGTTGCAGGCATGGTTCAAAATATCGGTCAATACTGATACGAGTTGGTCGAGTCGTGTCTTACTCGGCATTTTTCAAGACGATACCGTTACACGATAAGTATAAATCCCGAGTATCGCATGACTTAGCCGAATTGGCTGAGTTGTATCCGAGTTGCCAAGTTATCGTCACCAAATCAACCGATACGATTTTGTGACGTTGTTGTCCTGAATTTCCCGTCATGTTCAACATTTTTTTAGGTCAATATCGCCCGATACCATACCGCAACCGATGTGTCACAGAACTCTTCGAGTCGATGGCCGATACCGCAACCTTGAACCATAGTTGCAATTAACCACTGTTTGTTGCTAAATTTCTTTCCGTAGAGAAAATTGCACCTCTCTTTAGCTAAATTAACTTGAGGGTAAAGGTCAACAAGCCAAAACTTCAAAAGTTGGTACAAATTCTCAGAAATTTGAAAAGGCCTATTTAAATGTCGACGGGAGTATTAAGATCTAACTGAGCGCACAATGTCCCAAAATTACTCAAACCTAGTCAATCATAAAACCACATTCAGTACCAACATCACACCAATGGCAGAGCGCAGGAATGCAGATAAAGCCTTTTTGTACAGAGAGCTGAGCATATCTGCCATCCCTTTTGCCAAATGCATTGTTGCCTGCACTATATGTTTGGAGACCTTGGACAAGATGCTAAAAAACCGGGTAATTGGACTCCCATGGATGTTTGAATTTGAGCGGTCTTCTTGGATCAGGTTCTCCCTTCCATACTGGTTCTCCTTAACAGGCTTCCGTAAAGCAAGTGGGCCAAGAATAGCTGGTGCAACAAGGACCAGAGCAGCAATGCGCTCAGGTGCTTCAAAGTAGGTTTGAACTGCTATAAGGGAACCAGCTGAATGCCTGGAATTGCATCTCATTAATATTGCTTTCAACCCTCTGTCAAGGTGGGAGAACCAATCAATAAAGGAATGATGCATATAAATAAATGCACATACCCTACCAGGATTGCCTTTTCAGCTGCCAAAGAATTGATGAAGTATATTGTAATTAGCACAGAGAATATCATGGAGTATGGATTTAAAGGTTTTGCATCACCACTACCAGGAGAAGAATGCTCAAAAGAATCCCTTGAGGTTAGCCCAAAGGCTGGCCTATCAAAAGCAAGGACTTTAGAACCTGTAACCTGTGCCAGAGGTTTCATGACTCGATCCCAGGAGAAAACAGAGGCTCCAAAGCCATGTAACAAAATCATAGGAAGACCAACTTTCTTAGTTTGGTCAGGAAATCGTGAACTAATTTCATCCTGTAGCGAATCCTGAGCTGGGGATTCTGCATTGCATACCTTGTGGTGTATCTGTACCCCTTTAAACTCACAAAAACAACTGTCTGGATCAGCTAAAACCAATGGGTCCTTTAATTCATCCTGATCTACACCAGCTATCCTCTGCTTTTTTTGTTTTGGTGTTGCTCCCAACAATTGCTCTGGAGATATTGAGGAAGCATAACATAAACATTTAACGTTTTAAATGCTATAAAAAGGTGAGCGAAAAAAAATGAAAGTGTTTTGTCATATGAGTTGACATCCAGTAATGATCATACGTTTGTAATGCATTATATGTCCCATAATAGGTCCCGTCCTTCTACCCTTTCCCAGAAGTCAATGACTATTCATAGCTATTACCTTGAAACCAAAGAAGAGTTCGACCAAATGCTTTATTTTTGTCCTAGTTGATCCTAATTCAACATTAGAAGTACATTGATTTTCCTCAAATAACTGAATACTTTTCTCTGTAAATACTACATATTTGATTCCATCCATAAATCTATTTTCTTCCTTATGAATTCTAGTCTCAATAAGACTGCTTGTTCTTACTATTCCATATATAATGATATGAATATACCACACCAATTTGTTATGTATGGATAATGAGATTACCGAGGAAGTTAGAAAACTTGAAAGATAATATTTCGGAATTTGGATGCTTTGCCCCTTTAACTCAATCTAAGTAGAATAGCTAGAACTAAGCATTTTTAAGCATGTAGGCTTGACAACTTTCAGTGGCTCGCAATCTAATTAGGACAAAACAAAATATAACCAACAAAATAGGTTGATTATGGAAGCTATTCTCCGTTCACAAGTTGATAAAAATAAGAAGAACGGATGCCATTTGTACCTACTGACTTGGAAAAGCAAACACATGATCCAACAGACATAATATGGAGTTTACGCCAGCTAAATACTGGTATTAAAACAAAATAGAGACAGTTACATTTCATGTTATGCTCACATACTACCAACTAACCAAGGATATCATTTCTATATTTCCTCATGGGTCAGGGATGAGCAAAATGTGGATATAAAGAAAGAGGTCTAGTGGTGTATTTTGTTTTCTAGTAATACTGTTTGGTTAAAGAAATTAAGTAAGCAGAATTTCATGGTTCTGATTGCAACAATTAAAAGTTCAAATTTAGTTTACTAGTAAACAATATGGACTGTAGCATTAAAATACTTAAAATGGAAATAGATATAGCTCATTAAATTAAAATGAAATGCATGAAGTTTCGCAACAGCTTATTGTGGGCAGTGTGATTGTTCAATATCAATACCCTTGAAGCATATAGAGTTAAACAGCCAAAAAGAAATTACAGAATACAAAAACATGTTTTCAAATGGAATCAGCATAAAGTTTTAGGATTTATAGGTGGGTGAGTGGCACAACCAACAATGATTAGAAGGACAAAAAACAGAAGAGAAGGAAAATTGAAAAAGATACTTTGGTTATGTTCAATGAAAACGACGTACAGAACTGGCAAGGAAGAGCGATCATATCCAAAATACAGATTTCACAGGAACAAGAAGAAAGACATGAACATACATCCCAAATAGCCCCAAATGGTAAATAAGAATTCCCAAATTTCAAAAATCAAGAAGTAAATCAAATAACCAGAGTAATCGGCACCGGAGCCACCAACTGAAGTAGATGCAGCTTTGGGAACGAACTGGTGAGAGTTCTTCTTATAAGACAAGCATAGTCTCCTCCTCTGCAACACTATTGGGTTTTGGTTGTGGAGAAGCTTCGTTGATTCAGTGCAAGCAATGAGGAAGAATGGTTGGTACAGTCCATAGCTACTCATGTTCTTCCTTCGCTAAAATCCCCAAAAAAACAAAAACAAAAATTGATGATTTGATCGATTTGTAGTGGGAAGTGAAACGAATTTCTTCCGCGGGAACAAACGGAATTGAAGCCCCTCCCTCGTCACCTAACCTAGAATAACAATGATCATGTTCATCGGATACGCCGTCGTTTTCTACGACAACTTCCCCCTCCCCACTGAGCCACTCCCTATAAGAGTCGCGGGCCTACACGAATGTTCAACGCATCAGACTATTGGGACACAGTCTGCGACAAGGTGGTATGCCCAGCCCATAATCCTTCAGATTCACTAACAAGCCCATGGTCCCCAGGCCTTTTGTTGAGCCCGAGTTGAGTGAGTGAGTGAGAGAGAGAGAGAGAGAGAGAGAGAGAGAGAAAACCGTAGGAAACTAACGTGTAGGTGTAGCTCCAGCCGAGCTCCAGTTGTGAAGTGTTGACATTTGCTTCGTATCCTAACACGCTGACCAGTAAGGACAAATAAGATTAATGGGCTAATTTTATTTTGTACCCTAAAAGATACTATGATTTTTAATTTATAGCATCAAACATTAAAAATTTTAATTTATACCCTTAAAGTTATGAATTTATAAAAATATAAAACTTACATAAATTGTCATTTAATTTTTACATCATAAATTGAAGCACGTGAATTGCAAGTACTTCAATCATGGGTTTATATACAAATTCACGTACTATTAACGTCTCGTATAAGTTGCATATGATAGGACTAGTTTTTATTTAATTAATAAATTTTATTTTTAATACATAAAATAATATCAAATTAATCACAAACAAAGATTTGTATCAATGAACATACTTCATTCTCACACCGGAAATACTTGCACCATCAATTTAAGATGAAGAACTAAATAGTGGTCTGGGTCAAGTCCATGTTACTATAAATTTATAATATTAAAAGTATAAATTAAAATTTTTAATATTTAAGAGTATAAATTAAAAATTAAATTTTCGTTCAAGGGTACAAAGTGAGATTAACCCTAGTTTAATCTCTCTCTCTCTCTCTCCTCAAAGACGAAGATCACGAAGAAAGATAGAAGCCGAAGGAACTGAAAAGCCCTAGAACTAGAATCTCTCTCTCTCTCTCCTACCGGGAAAAAAATTCAAAATCACTCAATGGAAGCTCTACTCTGCAGAAAAATCGGCGACCCCACACAACCCCCAAACTCATCGGGAAGCTCCGCACTGGCTGTCTCAACCTCGCACCCAATCCCAAAGCTGAACTCTTTAACTTCAGTCAGAGTGAAAGTCAAAGCCACAAGCTTGAACTACGCCAATTACCTCCAAATTCTGGGCAAGTACCAAGAAAAACCACATTTACCCTTCATTCCTGGCTCCGACTACTCCGGCATCGTCGAATCCATCGGTCCCAATGTCACCAAGTTCAAAATCGGTGACCCGGTTTGTTCTTTGGCCGCCCTCGGCTCTTTTGCCCAGTACATCGTCGTCGATGAGAGTGAATTGTAAGTCAAATTTATATATAGTTATCCACACACACACACATATATATGAATTGCAGTTTCATCCGTATTTGTATAGCTCTGTTTGGATTGGGCTTATCTTTGCGGGTGTGTGATGTTGTTCTTGTCTTAACACAAGTATATACAAATGGAATTTTACTGGGTATGATCAGCATTCGCCTATTAATGCTTGTAGTTAATAGTTGCATGTAAGCACACACGCTGTGTATAAGCATATAAGTGCTCTTGTCTTGTGAAAAATTTAGTGTGGCACATAGAAAATGCCTTGCAATTTGAAAGAAAATGGAAGTTTGGGTAATTTGACAGAAATTTGACTCTGCTTCTGATTTTGTATGCGTGCTTGTGTGGGGGGTGGAATTATAAAGTTATGTACATTTTTATGCATATGCCTTGTCAATGTAGAAAATGCAACTGGGTGGACATTGGCTACATGTTGACAACATAGTTGAATAACAGTTGATATTTGTTTGCCTGCCACATTCTAGAATCAAATGTCTTTTCGTAAATTGGACTAGAAGTGCAATGTAAATGCATGGAGGTGATCCTTTAAGTAAACTATTGCCCCTGTCCTGTGTGTAACATTTTGATTAGTGTGTTCTTAATTGTTTTGATAATCAATCTCAGATCCATTATTTTAAGCACTATTTGTTTGTTTATATATTCATTGTATTGTGTTGGAGGTTTCGAGTACCTGATGGATGTGATCTAATTGCTGCTGGTGCACTTCCAGTTGCATATGGAACATCACATATGGCCCTGGTTCATAGAGCTCAACTGAGTTCCGGTCAGGTATCAATCCCCTGTTCTTCTTTTACATGGTTACCACAGTGGAGGCTTTTTTTATGTTTTTTTAACATAATCATTTACATGAGTGTGATAAACTTGTAGGTTCTGCTGGTTCTTGGTGCAGCTGGAGGTGTTGGGCTTTCAGCTGTACAAATCGGAAAGATTTGTGGTGCTGTTGTTATTGCTGTTGCTAGGTACTTGCCCAGTAACACTCTATGAAGCAGTTTATAGTGTTCGTAACCTCCTTCTGATTAGCCCACCTCATTCACACTGAAGCAGAATAACTGAAGATTGAGTTATGCTTTGAATTTCAGGGGAGCTGAAAAGGTGAAGTTCTTGAAGTCACTGGGCATTGATCATGTTGTTGACTTGAGCCAAGGGAACGTCACTGAAAGTGTGAAGGGATTCTTAAAGACGAGAAAACTGAAAGGTGTGGATGTTTTGTACGATCCCGTTGGAGGTGCACTTACGAAAGAAACAATGAAGCTTTTGAATTGGGGAGCAAAAATTTTAGTCATAGGGTTTGCGAGTGGAGAGGTCCCTGTCATCCCTGCAAATATTGCTCTTGTTAAGGTACAATTTTGCAGTTGAAGGTCTAACTTCCCCGAGGAAGGGTTGGATTCCATTTCCACCATCAAACCAACAAATCTAACCTAGGTTCTTGATTTATATTTCAGTCAGTTTCGATGTTTTTTTCATCTTTCATTATTTTGCATTGGTGCTGTATTTCAGAACTGGACAGTTCATGGACTCTACTGGGGAAGCTATAAATTACATCGCCCAGATGTACTTGAAGATTCTCTTGAGGAGTTACTGTCCTGGTTGGCAAGGGGCTTAATTACTATCCACATTTCTCACACTTACAGCTTGCCTGAGGTCAGGAGCTCTGCACTTCATTCCCTTCTTTCTCTATTTTAACTGAGTAAAGTTTTTTGCCCTGTAGTGAAGTTCTATACTCAGCTTCTTTATTCATTTTATGGTACTCGTCGCAATGTGAACCAACATGGGAATGAAAAGACACTTGAATCCTTATACTACTGGAAAAATTTGTTGGATCAGTCAATCCAACACTGTAAGTATGTAACTGCATTTCACACTCCGAACAGGATTGTGAACATGTACCATAAACCATTGAAACGAACTGTAATTCAAGCATTTAAGAACTATGTTTAAGTATTGGACTTCCATTCAATTTACTTATGGTACCTTGCTTATACTCGGTCCTATTGTTGGAGGGGCTGGGCAGGTATATTCTGTTTTCTTTCGAAATAAAATATTTGGTGGGTTTGAAAGGCTGAAATATTGATGTATCATATCCCTTGAAATCAAACTCCTGCCTTATCCGACCTTCTTACAAACAAACCTGAAATAAAAAGATACTAAGGCCAAAGAAAGCTGCATTGCTCAGAAGAGAAGTGAGTTCAGTTTTCTCATGGCTTGGTTCATTTGGCTGCAATCAGTCTTTGGAATGACCTATCTTCCTGTTCTAAATTGCCAGATTTTCAATATGTGAATTATCTGTCATTTTCATTTCATTCTTCTTTGTGAACTAATATGTATTTCCAAATTGATGCTTCTCTTCTCACTGATAACAGCACATCATATCTTTAACTGTGAAACGCAAAACACGGGGCATTACAAAACCCGACAGCTTTATCAGTAGCTGAGCTGTTCTTACATTTCCCAAGCAGCCTTCTTGTTTTCCCTTGTGAAAAAATCAAAGATGATTCTTTCGTTTGTTGTGCTTAGTTGGTGTTTGTAGTTCCATTTTAATTTTTTTAGCCTTGTGTTCTGATCTAATAATAATATCTTTTTGACAGGCCAACCTTGCCTTTTCTGCTATTAAGGATAGAAAAGTTATTGGAAAGGTGATGCTTGCTTTTGATGATCATAAATCCGCAAGATCGAAGCTTTGATCTGGTCGGAATTCACGAGTGGTTGAGAGGAGAATGGTTTCCTTTATATGTAAATGTTAGAACTTGCCATTCTATCACTGACCATCAATGGATGGTAGCTTGTTCATTTCTGAAGCATCAAAGTGGCAGTTGGAATCAATTTCATGAAACATAGACTATAAATAAATAAGGATATAAATGTTAATGTTGCTGAGTTATATGGTTTCTTGTGCAACTCTATAGAAACGAAGGCACTGGGATTCCCTTAGAAACATGTCCATTGCATACAGTTGAATCATTTTATAGCACTTTTTTAAGTTCTTTTTGAACAGCAATTTGTGTGCCTTAGATGTAAAAATCAAGAGTCCTAAATTTGTACCCAAAAAACAGAAAAAAGTTGAATTCAAAATCAACGAGGTCAAAAATTTGGGATTGATTCTAAATTGATCTCATACCTATTTGAATTGCGACTGGATTTGATTAGGTTGCAACTTACTGTACAGCTGTGTCATCACTCAGATGCCTAGCTTATAGGTAGAACCATCGCCTCTCAACCAAGCAAAAGCCGGAAAGTAGAGGAAAAATGTTATTTTGTCTCTGGAAAGATACAAAAATTTTTAATTTATCACCCGAATGATTAACTTTTTTACATTGTCCTTTTAAAGAAATAAAAACGTTAAAATGCGATTCACTGTCTTATTTTTCATTTGGTGTTTTGTACCAAATCAATCAATTAAGAATCACAAAACAGACGGATGACCAAACAAAATTAAGACGATTGATCACATTATAATATTTTTATTTCTTTGATACAATGTGAAAAAATTAATCTTTCAAAGGACAAACTGTTTTCAAGGGGGGCAAAATGGGATTTACTCAAATATATCAAACCTTCCATCGAAGACCCACCAGCCAATTTTGAGCTCCGGCTAAAGAGCACGCCGGCAACCAAGCACGTCTAAGCACTGGAACCATACAATTCATATCAGATGATAAACCAAAAACACTCCCTAACCCTGAAACCAAATGCTTGATTCAAATTCCCGGAATTCTGCTACATAAGTCCAGGTGTAATGAAGGTACCGGGGAATTTCCGAGGCTGAAACTGGATAGAAAAACGCAATATTACTGTATTGAACAACAGATCCTAATTGAATATACATTAAGAATACCGAGTGTCCAGCAAGAACAATATTGCCCCTTGAAAAAACTTAATGACATTTATAAGTCTCTGGGCTTAGCTTGTTTCTGATATGATATACATAAACAAGATAGATACAGGAGATTTATGTAAATGGCATCCAGGCTCCGTATACACTTGGGTTGGGAAGAGTATTGCTCATAAAATTGTTGACATAGCCCTATCTCGGCCTACTGTCTGTTTTTAGAAAACGGACATATTCTTGCTGCACCATTTCCCCTCCATTCACAGGATCAAAGCTGCACCCGTAGAAACTGATGATGGGGCAGGAAGAAAGAAAAGGATTAGAATAACTAAGACTATTCCATCACAACTAAAAAATATATGAGGGAAGCTATACTTTCACCAGGATATCTGATAAAAAGCAACAGCACTTTGTTGGCTTGAGTTATAATCTAGTAACATATTCATAGCGGTAATATCTAAGTGAGAAAACGAAAGCAAACTGCTGCATACCTCCCATCCATGCCAACAATAATGACATTGTTCTGGGATCCAAATGCTGCAATGAATTGTGTGTGTTCTGGTAAGTGGAACTGAGCAAATGACCACTCTGAGCTGAAATATTTTGGTAAAACTCCTGGAGAAATATCAGAAACATTAGACTCTTTAGGACACATACAAAAATTCCATAATTCAATAACTTCTGTTACGCAAAACCAACCACTTCCAACCTGAACTATTTCATAACATTTTTGTGCTGTCCAACAATGAGACAAGTGTACACCCAAGGATAAATAGATTAGATTGGCTGACCAGGCACGAAAAGAGTAAATATGCAAGGCTACAATACCCTAGCCTGCAAATGGAATCGTTTCAAGTTCCAGGGGTTCACTGAGTTTGTCACTATCAAGATTCTTTTACTTTGATTGGCATGTCACGAAGTGTTATATTGAATTGATGCCATCTAGGCATAGTCTCCATCCACCAGCAATGCAAATGCACAGATAGCTTTTAATAATCAACTCAAGTTTCGTATACCAAGAATATTGGAGGAGACACTTCTCTTACCTTTCATGAAAGATAATGATGAGCCAGGGTTGGCACCAGTATTTGGAGAAATAAGAGTATCGAGTGAAGTTGAAGAATTCTGGTAATACAGTGCTGGACTTTGAGTGGCACTGGAATGACTTGATGGGTCCTCCCCAACACGCACCTTGAGACTAAATATATGAACAGTACCTCTGTCACTTGACACTGCCAACCACTGTACATTTGGGGAGAGAGCAATACTATAGATATCTGCTTTGTCCACCCCTCTGCGTACCTATAAGAATTCAATAATATTGGAATTAGCAAGTTTTGTCTAGATGGTAACTATCAAAATGCAGTTCAAACTGGAACCAGGTTGAGATCTAAAATTCATGAGTGTAAAGCATTACAACAAATAGAAAAAAGACTTCATCCAAAGACATAGAAACCTGTAAGATAAGGGTGTAAACCCAAGTTAACAAAGAACAATACTAGTGACATTAGAACAGAAATGGGAACTTTATTCTTGGAGATAGGTTGTCATATAGCCATATATGAGTAAGAAGGCTAGTATCATTCAGATGCATCAGTTGATATAAAGCTGATGCGTGCAATGTTATTTGTAAACAAATGAACTACATAACTACTGACCTGTCCATAGAAGCCCTTATATTCAGGAGATGCAATTAATCCATTGACAAATTCCACATAAAATTGTGACAACAAAATTTTAATGCTCTCCACACTCCAAAGAAATACAAGTGCTAAATTTAAGTAGTCAAATTTGATGGTCTAGGATAAATGGGCAAACATCACATTTAGAGGGAAAAGAAGAGATTTCGTCTGAATCTACTCGCACCTTTTTATATTGGCAGGTTCTAATTGTCATATTAAAGAACAATGAGTTTGTCAACTGGCTCAAAAATAACACCGTACCACCTAGAAAAAAGAATATTACCGGGAGACAGTATGCAGATATTGCAATCAGAACTATACCTCTTGTAATCGAGTTCCATCCATTGTGTTGAAAATTCTTATCAAAGTGCCCTTTGTACTAGCAGTTGCAAGAAGCAGCCCGTCCATAGTCAAGGTTATACATGCTATCTGAGTGTCATGCGCATTAATCAATTTAGTCATATTCAGCCCAAAATGTTCAATCCGCACCTGTCCTCGTCGAAGACCTGGGCAAGCCATTACAGAAGTATTCAAGTTATGTGAAAGGCAACAAAGTCCTCTGGGATTTGCCAGTGTCTCAATCTGATGAAGAAGCTTCAGATCCATAAAATTGTAAATGTATATCTTATGCTCAAGAACAATAACAACGCGATCCCGTCTTAATTTCACCGCACGAACCTCAGATCTAAAAGAAAATTCACCAATGCACCGGCTCTGATGATCATCCCAGATTATAACTTTATTTGGAGGATACTGGTTATTGGCTTTACCACCAACAAGTGCCAAAATGTTGCACCGAAACAGCATCTCAACAATCCCAAATCCCCCACTTTTCAGGTCACGTCTGAAAGTTTCCTTGAAAGGATCACAGTTATAAATGCGAAAACCTCGGCTTGTCCCAGCAGCAAAGCAACCATAATCCTGATTCCATGATACAGTGAGTAACTCTGTCTCATCACTTTCACTAAACTGTGATTCACTATGGAGAAAAGGACCAGAAACCCCCGCCGTTGCTGGTGGAAGTATCCCTCGAGATGTTGAAACAGTTGAACTCATCAAGCACTGAAACAATTACAAACTGCAGAAATTCAGAAGACCAAGCTCAAAACCTCCGCTTCAGTGAATTAGAAAATCAAAAGCTAACACTACATTAGAAAACACCATTAGTACATAGACAACATTCCGTTTATCTGATCATATGCAGATTCGACGAGGCATAATTTGGATCAATTTAATATCAACGCATATAAAAGTAGAATTCAGAGTTAACACATAATGTAGAATGCACATACTATAAAAGTTGATTGATTTAACAATAAAGAGATAAAAACAAGGTTCCGGAATTTGCATGAGGGTGTTGAGATTTTGTGCTTCTACACACACACACACACACACACACACAGAGCAGTTCTAAAGACATGGATCCTTTCTTGATACAGTATGAATCTTCTATATTGTTCAGGTAAATTGTAGAGATCACAAATCAGTTCCCATTAACTTTCTCCAGTCGAAATGTTTCAGGTTCACTCTATGTCGACAGCTCTGAGAAATGGATGTATCTACAGATCTATAAATGCACACACAGAGACACATATATACAAACAAAACATAAAGGAGTGATCCTTCTTGCTTCCAGCAGAACAATATAGTTCTTATACTACTTCCATTGGAGACAAAAAGTAAATGAATTTTGACTAAATATTTTGGGTCTATACAAAGTAAGCAGAATATAATTACATAAACGAAACAATAAATAAAAGAAATTTCTAACTAATAATTAAAGGCGAACCACAACACAATGACGAACGCGATCGAAATCAACAAGTGAAAAGAAAAAAGAACGGTATTACTTACAAAGTTACAAGGTTCCTATGACAATGTAATCTTTCGATTTCCCAAATTGGCCGTTCTTCAGCATAGATCACTCACTAATAACGCATGACCTACATTTTTACATCGGAATTGTTAGTTGCAAACCCAAAAACAAACCCTAAGTTTCATTCCGATACAAATCCACACACACTTATCATTTCGGTGAGTGACTGGGACTATTTTTCCCGATCCAAAATGGGCCCGATCTCAGATTGTTACACATATTCTGATTTCTAAACAAATTGTAGAGAGTGAGAGAGAGTTTTTTGCTCTCTGGCAGTGATTGAGGAGGTTGAAGATGAAGGCAGGAAGCTTGAGCGAGAAACAAACGAAAAAACATCTATGAGCCTCAGATGGTGACACGTACGGAGAATAGTATCCGAGGGCTTTAAATAATTGATTAAGCCTATAAATTCTCCAATTTTTCTTTCCACAAAATACACGTCATTTTTGTTTTCTTCGGGTCGGCCAGTATTACGGAAAAGACGAGGAGGTTCGAATGCTAGGTTTAATAATGCCACGGTGGTCATCAATTGTTAGTCTTGTCACAAAAAAAAAAACTTTCTTTTTTTTTCTTTTTGATCAAATTAAAAAAAAAATAAAAAGGCAGATTTACATTCTCAAATATACTAATTTTTAATATTGACGGGTGCTTCGTATGATACATAAAATTTATAATTTTCTACTCACTGTCATTCTCAATCTACCTCACTCTCCATCTCAACGTTAGTTAAAAAATTTCTATTAATGAGTTGAATTAAAGGTTTTTATTAAAAAAATTTAAATATGAAGTTGTTATGAAAGATAGTGAAAGACTTAAATGTGGAATAATACCTAAAAATAGTGAAAAAGTTGTATATGACATTCAAAAAAGTTTTATTGAAGGAGATTATTTAAAAAATAAAATTATAAGAATTTAGTATTTAAGGAGAATAATTTTTCAAAGCCTTCTCTCGTGAAGTTTGATATTATGTGTAGTATTAAAATTAGACTATTTATCCAGGAGTTCAATAATACATAAGTTTGCCTTTGTTACACAAATGATAATTAAATTAATATATATAATTATATTTGTTACGCAAATAATAATCAAATAAGTTTGTTTCTAAGTAACTCATGACTGAAAACACGGTGAAATGTGAATGATTTTGAGGGATGTTGGTAGCCGTTGATGAGTCTATTTGAAACAGTCAGATGAACTTATTAAAGTCTATCTTGTTTTATATTATAGACTAGTTATTTTTCGTGCCTAAAGATATGGAGTAATAAAAAAAATAATAAAAAATAAACATATTTGTATTAACATCTAAAATCAAATTATAAAAATAAAAGAGAGAAAAAAAAATTTAAACACCAGTTGTAGTAGGAGCGAACGGTAGTAATGGTGGTGGTAAGAGACGATGATGGTTGTGATGGGTGGCGACGACCGTGGTGGTGGTAGCAGTCGTGGGTGACAATAGTAATGATTGTGGATAACTAGGGATGTCAATGGACCAAAGCGGGGGCGGGGGTATAGTCTTCATCCCCGTACCCGCTTAAAATACCTTCATTCATCCCTGGTCCACTCCGCTAACGGGTATACTTTTCATTCTCATCCCCGTCCGTAGGTAAATTTATAATCTCGTCCTCATCCTCACTTCCCCTGTACCCGCCCAAGCACAAGCAAAGTCATAAGAATTAAAATAGTTTAATTTTTTTTTTGCTATAATCGAAATAGAAGATGTAACAATATAAAAAGTGTGTCTTCTTTTCTTTGCACTCGATTATGTTGAAACAAGGGAATTATTCTGAGAGATAATTAGCTACAATTCCATGCAAATTGATGTGGTCTGTTTCAACAAGGTCATGGCCTGCATAATGTTCCAAAAACATTTGCTAAAATGGCAGAAAGAAGGGAACCCATAGATATGTCATATATGTGTTTTGAAATTATGACATCCATTAATGACATCACACATGGAATGCAAGTAAAGATGATAAAAGCCCAATGTAAAAGGTATTTATGGTTATGGAACTTTTAATAAAAATTTATAAACACACTATGCCAAGAAATTTCATCTGGTGAACTCCTCTTTAATTTGTAAAAAAAGTCAATATGTAATGAAGAAGTAATTGATCAATGTAATGAGCTATACGTGATTTTACCCCAAGCCAAATTGTTCTCTCAGTAAGTAAAGAAGCTTATACGTGATCAATGTAATGACCTACACGTGACCTATATATATATATATATAA